AGAGTAAAATTTTTTGGTTCACTTTTTTTTTAGCTCGCTTCAAAGTTTTCTGAGTTTAAATTTGGAGTCAGCAGAAAGCGACTACAAAAGAAAACTCTGGGTTTTTTAGGATTTGTTTCATTAAAAATCTCACCGCTGATTTACGCTTTTGCAAAAGTGAAAGCATAAAATTACTAAAGTTTTGCTCGTTAGCACTTTATCTCTTTTGATAAGCAGGCTGGCTGTAATTTATCCTCTTGTAGAAAGAACTAAGTTGGTGTGACTCTCCCAGACTTTGCCCTTCACCGCTCCTTTGAAAGACGGAGCGCCTTGGACTGCAGCCTAAAAGCCTCACAAGGAAATCAGGGTGTTGTAGATGTTTCATTTAGCGTTATTGTGACACAATCAAAAATTTAGCGCCACTGAAATATGAATGAGATGCAATCTGTGTTTGGGAAGAAACAATTTCACGGAGACAATTTTTCAACAAAGTGTGACGAGCAAACTCTGTCTTAATGTGACATTTTTACCGTCTCACCCTATAGAATAAAATATTGGAGGAAAAAAGAGCAGGCCTCTTCTTTGAAGCTCGTAAAAAATGATTAAAGTTTACAAAACTGGTTTAAAATCCTCAATTCACAGGCTCTGTGATGAATGAATAAACTAAAAAAGCATTTTGGATCATCAGGTGAAGACACCAACTTTCATGCTCTAAACTGCTAAAAACTTTTTTATTTTATTATTATTTTTTTTTTTTACATTGACCAAAGAATACAATCAATCAAAATCCTTTACTCTTCGTTTGTTTTTATACACTTCAGGCCATTCTTGATTCCCATCACTATATAACTCCAGCGTATTGTCAAAGAGGAAAAACATAATGGAATATTTCCAGCACAGTTCAATAATATAGTTAAACCTAATGGCACAGCCACGCTAAAGAGCAGAAATGAGCCGATGGTAAAATGCAGACTAATGAATGCGGTAAACCAAGAGGCATTTAATCAGGCTGAAATTTAGCTTGCAGAGGAGGATAAATTCTTCCAAAAATTCAGCATAAATGTAAAATGAAGCGGAAGTTTTCGCCATAATTGCACTGTTTTTAATTTTAGAGCTGATATTCATTTTAAAACTCATCAATTCAGCTCAATAGATAGGATTGTTTTTGGGGTTTTTTTCTCACAATTTCTAGTCTGATCCATAAGAAGGACAATGTTGCAGATCGTGTTGCAGTGCTGGCAATTCCAGATATAAATACTTATAGAAATGCATTGTCAGCCTGACGTAGAAATGCTTATAATGCATTTAGCAAGCTATCCATCCAGTATATTGTTCGAAGTTTGATCCTTTTGAGTGAAAATATTGTAGTTTTTATAAAATTGTAGTATTAACTCAACATTTAGATCGGTATAAATAAAACAATTAAATCTATTCAAAATAGAAAAGAACAAATGTTTCTACTGCTTCTAAAAGAATAAAACATGTCAAAGAACAATCTAGGAGATGTGTGCTACATTTAGCAGCACTTAGCAACATGTACATATAGTTGTTGTTGCTATGCATAAGAATAACCAGCTGATTTTAGCTGGTTAATTAATCACGCTATCTGTTCAGGTATCTTGCAGATGACACAACGTAAGAGTGACAATGCCCCTTTAGCTTCCACACCATGATTATCAATGTTTTTCCACAACCAGGAATGTTCCCAAACAGCCAAATTTATTTTCCTGTAACCAGGGAAACAAGGACAGGGGCCTTCTTTCAGCCACTGGCTCAGGAGTGCACAGCAACAGGTTGGGGAGGGGGAGCACTGTGCTTCACAAATCTCCATTCAGCTGGAGAAACCTCAGGACACATTTCCTGGCATCTCAATGAATGAGATCGAATCATGTTTTAGACGTTTGAGTTGCTCATTATGAGAATTAATCCCAGTTAGTGAAAGTGATAACTTAGCATAAAAGCAGAGAGATGATCTGAACCTCGTTTATTGGGGCGTTATCCATGCGGACACGGTCGTAGTGGGCTGTTTGAGTTTCTGCCCGCTTGTTAAGCTAACATTCCTGCTCCTCTGCTGCCAAAGATCAGGCCCTGAAGTGTTTACTATAATGCTGCATGACTTCAAGCAACGTGGCCGAATGTTGAAGGAAAAAATGATTGCCAGTCTCTGCAACACAAGGTCAGAGATGGATCAGAGTCTTTAAATAGACGAGTAACATTAATTATGTAGCAACTCCTGTTCAAAGAGGTGTTTGAAACTTCGTCGAGTAACGATTTGACCATCACAGCTCAAAATACGCGCCTTGCCTTTTCCACACAGGAGGTCTTTTTAATGCGTCTCTCAGACTGACCCCATCTCCCGGGGAGGTGGAAGGGGTCTATGCAGAGAAAATCTAAAAATGAATGAAATCTGGACAGAATTTCTACACTTTTTCTTGTTTTTTTTTTTCATTTCTGTTTTATCAGTACTTGATCCAGATATACTTTAACGATGCAGATTTTTTCCTTTAACGATCTCCATCAAACCTGCGATGCCTTTGCAGAGCAGCTGGGATTAAGTTACACACTGCTGATTTCTCAATGGAGTCTGTTTGACTCCTTAATTCAGGCGTCATTAATCCCCAAACAAACGTGCTGCTAATGAACAGGTAGCGATCCACGCGCAGGGAACAACGACCAGGTTGGATCTTTAACCGCTTTCTTCATTTAGACGTGTTGTTAACATGGCAGCCCTCATTGATCCGGCAACGTGACGTTCTTTTCTTCCTGGACTGTGAGTTATGAGCCTCTTAATGAGTCGGATGATTGAATACTGAGCTGGAAATGAGACAGAGGTGGCAAATGAAGCCAAGAGGGCTGAGTGTGAGGAAAAGGGAGTGGGTGGGTGGGTGTGATGCGAAGGGCTAAAAATACATATTTTGCACAGGAAGGTTCTCTAACAGCAAGTGACAAGACTCCTTCCTGTTCTGTTTGCTGTGGCCCGGAAAACAAATACTCATTAATTATCTCCTGTTATCTACACGCCAACAGCAGCGGAGTGGTTATTGTGCGACTGAAACCAATAAAGGGAAACAAAGACGGGTGTCATGTTTTTCAAATAACAAAAACCGGTAACACTTTATTTGAAGGGGGTTGAATAAGACTGACATGACACTGTCATAAACACCTGTCATGAACATGAATAAGCCTTCATGAATATTTATGACTGTTGTCATAAAGTGTCATTCGGTAAATTATGACACTTTTAATACAAAGTTGACATTATCCAAAATGTCTTTGTTATGACAACTTGACATTAACCAAGAAATCATTACTGATATAAATTTGTTATAAAAGTATTACTGATTGCACTTTAAAAATGAGGTAATTTTATGTTATTAAAGGTAAAGTTTAAACAGTAATGATTTCCTGGTTAATGTCAAGTTGTCATAACAAAGGCATTTTGAATAATGTCAACTTTGTATTAAAAGTGTCCCACCAAGAACAAAACAACAAATCAGTAGTGCTCCAGGAAGACATCAGCACGGAGCAGCTCTTTGAAGACTGCATACAGTTAATTTTATGTCATCGATTAACAGAGAAACAAATGAACCTCTGGAGTGCTGCTGTTCGATACCAGCCGGTGAGTAGACTATGTATGCCTTTTAATTTGCAGACGGCTTTAATATTCGCTCTTTTTCTTCTCCCTAAATTACGTCTACTGATAGGAAAAGATTTAAAGCAGCAGCTTAGTTCAAAGAGAAGCCCAGAAGAGAGGCCTGGGTGTTAAATATTTCTGCTGTTTGTCCTCTAAATTTAAAAACATTTAGTCAAGACCTAAAAATGGAGAAGTCATTCATTCAGTCCTTCTGTGTCTTGCAAAAAGTGTTCATGTCTCTTGAGCCTTTATAAATTTAGCTATATTGTATTTTGGGGGGGATTTTATGAGTTTTACCAACACGAGAAAGAGCAAAATTGTGTATCTGGAAAAAGAAGTATGACATTGTTTTATTTATTTATTTATTTATTTATTTTGACCAATAAAATCCTTGGAAATGTGGGGGACATTCGTAGTCACCCCCTCTACTCTGACACCCATAAATAAAAACCCAGAGGAGTTCAGAACTGATAACATAGATTCACAGAAGGATTTAACTGGGACGTTCTAACACATGAACGTGATCTAAGGCATTCATCCCACTGGTGCAACTGACTCTTTACTTTACTCCCATGCCTGTCTGGGAAAAAAAAATTATAAAGAAAAAGTTTTGTCCCTTCAGCTGTCATTGCATTGAACAAACGCCTGTGAAGATCAACTCCTCTGTGTTTCTCATGCTGTGTTCAAGGAGACGTATAAGAGGAGGAAGGGAAAGAGAGGGAAGGCTGTATTTCTATCTATCTATCTATCTATCTATCTATCTATCTATCTATCTATCTATCTATCTATCTATCTATCTATCTATCTATCTATCTATCTATCTATCTATCAGATCACCTTCTTCTACATGTTTGGAAATGACTTTTTATCTTTCATTCTTCTGTATTGGTAACACTTGTAGAGCGACTAATAGTTGTCCTGTTGATAGTTCCTCCAAATCTGAGAATTACATCCCTGCAACTCCTCAGACGTCACCACAATCTGACATCGTGCCAAACTTTATGTTTCCAAATGATGGATTGAAAATTGGACGGTGAGACGTCCAAAACTTGGAATATTGTGCTTTGAACTCATAGACAACTTGATTAACTCGTGCTATTTACCAAAACAGCTGCTTTTACACTGATAGATCCTGGAGGTATGTTAGTTGCATTTTATTTAATTTAGTAGAGTCAGAGTAAGAGGGGTTGGAGTTGACTGAATTACAAAACTGTGCCTCATTTTCCCTTAATTTTATGAGTCTGTCCCTTGTGTTGCTCATCAATAAATAAATAAATAAATAAATAAATAAATAAATAAATAAATAAATAAATAAATAAATAAATAAATAACGTAGAAATTAGGAGGCGTTGGATACTTTTGCACAGCAACAAAAGCCTTAGTTTACCTTAGCAGCAAACGATGAGCTGGGCTTCTCCAACAGGTCCCAGAGCTTCTTCCTCTTCTCGGAGCAGCATGTGGTGGTGAACTCCTCTCCCTCCCGCTCCCTCATGTTCTCGGCCTCCCTCTTCAGCTCCTCGTTCATCTGCTCCTTCTTCTGGTGATACCGGGCCTGGCAGCAGGACTCCAGGTAGATCTCGTCGATGCCCCAGAAGTCCAGCTCCTGGCTGAAGGAGAGGGCGCACATCTCCTCCATCATGTGCAGCTTCCCGGTGCGGTAGAAGTTCAGGATGGAGGTGAAGGCGCCGGGGTGCCGGTCGAAAAAATACTCGTTGTTGTCCAGGCTGTAGTCGTCACATATCTCCATGATGGACTCGTGCGTGTTGCAGTCCCGCAGCTTGCCAAGCCGTGTGCGGGGCAGCCTATCCAGGGTCCTCCAGAGGACTTCGTGGAGAAGCCCCCCGACGTTGAGCCTCACCCGGCGGGAGTGTGTCTTGGTCCGGATGATGTCTATGGTGTCCGGAGGCAGCGTGGTGGTCAACCGGGAGCCGGTTTTGATCATCTTCGCTCAGCTCAGTTGGACACTTGGAGAGCCTGGAAGACGCAGTCCGGAAGATTAAGAAGACATGATCCTGGAGATGACCGCATCAGGACCCCGCTTCGTTTCTTGTACTTAAAAAAAAAAAAAAGAAAGAAAGAAAAAAAAAAAAAAGAGGAAGAAATTTTAAAATTTTCAACGCCTGCTGAGCGGACACCGCCGGTGTCCTACAGCAGCAATGTCAGGTGGTTTATCCACTCATCAGAGAACCAAATAGATATTTTAATCAGCTTTAAGAGGCACAGCCGATTTTCTTGCTGACACTGGAGGTGGACAGCCGGGCCAATGATAAACTGGACTCAGTCGCTGTCCAGTGCTGAACATCCACCACCCCCCAATCTGCCACCCCCGCCGGTTGGGTGCTGCTGTCCGAGGTGCTGAAAGGTGTCAGTCCGGGCGGAAAAGAGTCCGGTTCCGCTCTAAGCTCGTCATAACATGAAGCTGTTATGTGAATACAGAGCTGAGCTGTTCTCGTATTAAGCCGAGCTAATACTGACACCGATTATCAACTTTGATTAAGAGCCCATAACACGCCGGGTTATCCCCCTAAGTAGCCCCAGATGGACCTTGGGTAGATATCACACTTTTTTTCCACCACGCTTGTCCAAGCTTACTTTGGTTCTTGTAAACATTGCGAGGGGAACAATAAACTTTTATGAACGCGATAAGAAAAAAAAAAAAAAATCAGCTCCAACGCCCCCTATCTTAAACAAACTAATAACGAAATATCTTAAAACGTAGTCAATAAATAAGCATCATACTTACGCGTCTTCTTTATGCGACGATTCACCTCGTGAAGCGAAATCAGCATCGTTTCGTTTGTAAGTGCGCTACAACTTGTTAAGCCTGCCACACTCTCCTTCGCTCTGCCTGGAGCCGAGAGATGCATCATCAGCCGCGCTCAGACATGATGGAAAACATACTGCCAATACAAATAATAACAACAAAAAATAAATAAATAAAAAATAAAAATAAAAAAAATCAGCGCCTTAAAGTCCTGTCTGCCTCCCGCCGCACTTCTGGAGAGAATCAACAAGTAGACTGCGGAGTGGAAGCTGGGGATCCTGTCTGAGTCTCGCCTCTGAACAGCTTCCTGGCAGCGTTGAGTGGCTGTGACTGTGGACGGGATGCTGCCGGGGCTGATTTCACTCAGGCTCCTCCAGCCAGCGTGAAGTTAACCCTCGCAGCGCCGCAGCGTCGCGACTGATTGCGCGTTGTTACTTCGCTGCTGGACATCATTGGAGTGGGTTTTGATTTTTGCCATCGCGTTATGCTTCCAAGGAGTTTAGAAGGGACGTCTTACGTAGGGAAAGTGGGATCAAAAAAACATATGTCCTACTCACTGAACCTAATTGTATTTGATCGGGATCGCATGAAAAACAGAAAAGTAGTGCATAATTGTGATGTGCAATACAATTGATAGGTTGTTGGATTAACGTCCATTGCAACCAACAGCCTTTAAAGTCACATTGTTGGGAAATAAGTCCTACCAAGAATTGGCTAATATCTAACTAATATATAACTAAACAAATATGCAAGGAGAGCAACCATTAGGCCTTTAAGCAGTGGCGCAACTACACATTATTCAGGTGGATGCGAAAACATGAATCTGTTTTTCCATAATCGTAACACAAGACCTATAAATAAAGTGCATCTCCAACAGTTTCACGTTAAACTTAGACAGTTTTTTTTTTTAGGTAGATTTGTGGTTTGGCTTTGACTGTGTTATGATCTTGTTTATTTTCTACTACATTTTTTGTAGGTTAGCACGACAAACACCAATTAATACCTGACAAAATAGGACAACAACTCGTCACAAATCGGATCTTTTTGAGCAACTAACATGTAAAAAGTCATTGCTGAAAGGAAGCAGTTACCAGTTTGCCATCATAACCCATATCAAAAATGTATCGTGCATGGGTTATGAAGGCCCAAAATGAATCTTTTGGTTCTTTGTGCAAAATGCCATGTGTGTCAGAAAACAAGACTGCACATCTTCACAGTGAAACATGATGGCAGCATCATGTTGTGAGGTTGATTTTATTACCAATGGCAGAAAAGCTGGTCAGAGTTCATGGGTAAATGGACAGAGGTAAATACTAGATAAAAAAACAAAAAAAAAAAAACATAAATTGGTTAGAAGCTGCCAAGAATTTAGATTAGAGATGGAGGTTGCTCTTCCAGAAGACCAACAACCTGAAACATTTGTCCATAGCTACAGTGGAACAGTTTATACTGATGCATTAGAATGGCCCAGTCAAAGTCCAGACCCAAATCCTATTAGGAATCCGTGGCACTACTTTGAAACTACTGTTCAGAGAAGCTCTCTGTCTAGTTTGATGTAGCTTAAGTTCTGTCTCTACATGTGTAAAGTCGGTAGAAACATGAAAGACTTTTGGTTCTACAACAGAGACGTCCAAAGTCACTTCTCAAGACGTGGTGTCCTACATGTTCTGGATGTGTTTCTGATCCAACAAAAATAAGTAAAATTCATAATTTATCAGGCCTCGGCAGAACACGGCAAACTGTGAAGAGCTAATTCAGACATTTGACTCGGTTGTGTTTTAGGATGGACACATCTAAAATATTCGGCCCTCGAGGGATGGCGTTGGAAATATCTAATCAAAAGAATACAAAAGAACGACAGAGAGAGGGCTGCACGCATAGCTAAAGCCACACTTTTCAGATTTTAATTGGAAAATATTTGGCCAACCTCACACCCTTTAAGATCTGTGATGTAAAATCTCAAGCGTTCAACAGGTGTGCGTACATTCGCAAGGCGCTGCGTGTGTTCGTCGCTCTTTAAATGCTTCTGCTGTGAGCCGTGCTGTGTGATAGATGCTCTCCTGTGAGCAAGAGGGATGAGTCGGAGCATAAACCGAAACGTTCCACTCAGATTCACTCTGCAAACAGCAGGCCTGTTTCTGCCAGTACCAGACCAGCTCTGTTTACTGGACAAGCGCCGCCCTCATTACACTCACTCTGCAGTCGACATGAAGAACTCCCCAGCTTCCTGACAGAAAGCGAGCTGCAAATAACTGCAATTTCATTTTGTTACCATTTTTTATTGTTTTGCTTGCTTACAAAGGCAGACTAAAATATCTGAAGCACCAACAAAAGAAGCACTCACAAAGTTCAGCAAACACATTACTCATGTTTTTATTGATAGAAAAAATAATGTTCTTATAAACACATACAGCAATAAATACAAACGTACAAAAATTATATTGACAATATTAACAATGATTTCGCGACGAAATGGTTAAAATTTAACGCGTTTCTCTTGGTTTATATCTGACAAGCAGGTCTCCCTGAGGCTGCAGCATCCCAAACCCGTAACGGCTGGCATCTTTCTCTGGAAGCTGAGCGTTGGAGTCGCAGAGCTCCAGGTCGTAGCTGGTCAGCAGCACGTAAACAAATCTGAATCGTAAACACAGACGAGAAACGTAGTTAGGACTTTCGAGTTCGAAGCAGCAATAATACTGATGAAATATGTGCAGGGCACTCACTTTCTGATGGTATTGATGGCAAACTGCCTCCCCACGCAGCCATTGGTCCCTGCACCCCAGGGCATGGTGTAATATTTCAGCTTCTTTCCTCCTTTGTAAAAATCCTTCTTCACAGATCCATCTTCATTCAGGAAACGGTTGAACTTGAATTTCTAGATGGGGAACAAAGCAGATATTAGATGCAAGAAATCACCCAAAAAAAATAAAAACATGACTAAATGTGATGCTTGACAGTGGATATACAGCTCTGGAAAAAATTAAGAGGCCACTCAAAATGATCAGTTTCTCTGGTTTTACTTTTTATAGGTATATGTTTGAGTAAAATGAACATTGTTCTTTTATTCTGTGAACTTCTGACAATGTGTCCCTGAAATTCCAACCAAAAATTGGAAATGGGAAAATGAGAAATGGTGAAAATAATTAAAAAGATGCAGTGCTTTAAGACCTCAAATAATGCAACCCCCCGACCCCCCAGTTTATGTTCATTTAGAAACAACATTACTAATTTTTTAACTCAGGTACAGTTCAGAAATCAATATTTGGAAGAACAACTGTGAGGTTTTCAATGGGGTTCAGTGCAGTGGGCTCTTATATATTTTCTGTACATATTTTCAAAGCGGACTTGCAGTGTCCTTCCCACGCCTATTAGCTCTGTTTCTGTTCTCATGCTCTGATAATCCCTGAGTAGCCCAGAGCTCTGGATCTGACCTCTCACTGGGCCGTTCAGGGTCAGCTTTGTGCGCACCTTACATAAACCACTCTTGATATCAGCTACCGTTAAACTTGCCTCCAACTAGTGTAGAAGAAAGAAAGAAGCTGGAAACACACCTGAGGCTCGGGGTGGACCTCTGGGTCCATCTGAGGGCTGACGAAGGGAAACAAACACAGCCTGTCTCCTTTTCTCAGCAGGTAATCCTGACCGTCAGCCATGTGGAGGGTCTTGTCCCGCACTACCTCTCTTGTTATGAAGGGGGCAGCAGTGAGTCGAAGAGTCTCTTCCAAGACACTGTCTGAAAAAACAAACAAAACGAAAACAAAAAAATCTAAATGGCTATGCAAACGAACAGATGTATTTATTTATTTTTAGTCTTTTACAATGAATATTTGCGGCTAAACCAATGGAATTCACTATTTTTCACCTGCAACACACAGTTAGCATGTTATATGTATGTATATGTAGAGGCTATAACAGGAATCAGCAAAAGTGTTGATTACCTTTTCACATTTTTAATGTTTTAACCACTAACATTTTCAAAGAAGGTACACGTATCCTGTCTGTATCAGTTTTTAAACATTTAGAGACTGAAGGTCCATTTTTCTTTAACAAACTCAGTCAGACTGATTGGAGAGCATCTGTGAAGATCAGTTTTCAGCTCTTACATGAACATGTGCTTTGATCTAATATTTACACTCGGCTGTACATTCATGATATCTATGCAGGTAGAAGGTAAACCTCCAATCTTCTGCAGCCTCTAAAACGTTTTCTTCCAGACCTGCCCTGTTTTTTTTAGCTCCGTTTCCTATTTATGCTAAAGGAAAACATCACCGCAGCATCATGCTGACACCACCATTTTGTTTCACAGTGGGGATGGTGCGTTTTTATGTAGGTCTGGAAGTTTCATTTTAGTCTCATTTCCTCAAATTACCTTCTTCTATGTTTGCTGGGTCTCCTACACTGCTTGTGACAAACTGCGACGGGGATTTCTTTCTTTCTTTATTTTTCTTTCTTCCTTTTTTTTTTTTTTTTACAATCATGCCATTTTTCCATAAAGGCCAGATTTGTGGAGTGCATGAATAATAGATGTTCTATAAACAGATTCTCCCAACCTGAAATGTTGATTTTTGCAGGTCAGCAGGAATCTATTGTGGGGTGAAAGGGACTGAATATGAATGAATAGCACATTTTTAGCATCCTGCAGAATTTTGCTTCCACCTCACAAATACGCACTACTCTTGGTTGGTCTGTCAAATAACGTGCCAATAAAACATGCTCATGTTTTGTTGCTGTAAATGAAAAGTTTCTAGAGGTATTAATACAAAGTAATTTGGACTAAAACAACACCAAACACTCACCAAACACTGGGGTCTTGGTGGATTTGTCCATGAGAGGAGTCCCTGAACTCGCCATCTGTGAAATCTGGCCAAACTCTCTCTTCACTGCCGTCAGGGCTTCAGGGTTTGTCAACAAGTAGCCCAAAAGCCAAAATGCAGCAGGACCGACATTTCCCTGGAAACACAAAGACAAAAAAAAAAAAAACCCTCACATGAGCTTGGTGTGATAAGATCCCCCACTCTGGTGTTGCATAGTGACGGCGCAGGTGGCTGTTTAGTAACGGCAAATAAAAACATCACGTGACATCCACAGATCTAAAAAATCTGCCTTCTGGTTGGAGTCGTGACAGAACACAGCCTTTATTTAAATTTTGTTTTTTTTAAATTACATGAAAAGCTTAATGATTTTTTTTTTTTAGTGCTGGAAGACAGATAAGAACGGTTTCCTCTCATGTGTCTGGGAAGAGGAGAGCCATGCTCTGGTTTGTCTCACTTCTGGCAAAGCCCAGTGCAGTAATGGTTTACTTAAAAAGGAAAGCCAGTGGAAACCTGAGGTCCCCTGCCATCTGCCTGCATTCAAGGGCAGGACGTTCAGCGCCACGGCAAAG